CAAAAATACTGAGAATGCAAAAAATAAAGAACAACTACTTACATTGCAGCAAGTATACTGGAAATTTGTGGAACTAGACATTAAACAGGCAAATACCTTGATGTGGCAAAACACTCACAAGGAGTACTATATGTTAATTCCTGCTTTCAGAAAATAGTGGTAAATTAAAAGAGCAGGGTCAAAGCAGCCCTAAAATCTTAAATTTGTGACTGATTCATGAACACAAATTTTCCTTACACACCTAAAAACATATTTTGCCTTGCAAAATGAGCCAACAAAAAGTCTACAAGCACCCAGAAGTAGAAAAATAATACACCTTAAAAAGATTTGTGCCACTTAGAATTTCTAAACACTTTAAATTGAAATATTCTGGCCAGTTTGATCTCTGTTTTTATGTTAAAAACTAGAAAAAACATTATCAACTATGTATAATTTAAATGGAGATTAATTCTTCCATTTAAAGTGCTTTAAAATAATTCTGCCTATGATCTTGAGGTCTCAGCCCAGCTTCTCCATAGTGCCTCTTCTCCAGTTTTCCTTGAGCTACATAAGTGGAACTGACAGATCACTGCTCAGATAGCAGCCACGTTCTTCCCCCAAAATGTTGCCTTTTTGCTATTCAGGAGTATCCTAATACCAACAAATGCTAAATGAAGTCTGACATGTACCCCTAAGAAACAAACTTGTAAGTTGTGGCTTCAAAGAAAACCTTGAATAAATAGGACACATTGTGTACACCCAGGCTAACATCCAACATATGCTTTAGTTTCCTGATGCTGAGACAGAGCAAGAATAGCCTCTGGTAAAGTCTGTGATTTGCTGTTGCTGGTAGTTCCAACATTTATAATGTACCATTTTTTTTTTTTGCCTGTATAAACAATTTTAAAATGTAATTAAGAAGACCAGAGCAACATTTTAGAACACAGCATATTCATGAATAATGGATTATTTGACATGCCACTAGTTTGATTAACAATTACAAAACAAATCAAAAGCATTCCCGATCTTTCCTTTGCAGAAGAACATCGCCACCAATAAGTCATAACTGGGCAGGTGGTTTTATCAAATAAAAAGTAACCTACATAATGAATGTTTTTAATTGTTCCCTTTGGTGGTGGTGATCAACATGCCAAACAGTGAGATGCAGCAAGTAGGTGCTATTAACAGCTACAGATACAAGGAAAGTATGATAGACACAGGAATAGAGAAAAGCAAGAAAACAAGATAAAACTAAATTTCTCTGCACATACAGAATCAGTTAAGACATGCCGTTCTTAACGGGCCAATTTATTTATTCGTTATTTAGGGAAGACAGAGAAAATAAAGATATGACCTACTATACAACACATATATATATTTTCACCATTTTTTTTTTTTAATTTTATGATTAATCCTTCTGGAAGAACTAAAAGGAGTTTAATTCAAGCTTATCATCCGCTCCTATACTTTAAGTTCAACTTCCTTTCCATTTTGTCCTCCCTTCCTCCAGATTTAGGGTATGAAAGTATATCACTAAAATTCAAGTATAATAATTCGCAAGATCTAAAGTGTGCTTGCTGAAACATTATGACTTAAAACAAATTTACCGTGTACAGAATATAGGTTAATTGATCACGATAAAATAATTAATCTGTTACAACACAGCGTGAGCCCATCTACACATGGGCCATAGGCTAACCTGCAGAGGAGTCACTACAGACAAAATTTAATTCTGGAATGTGGAATGTTAAGCATTGATTTAACATTGTAGATGGGAAGTTTTTATTCTGGATTAGGTGCAGCCTCAAAGTACCCAAAGGTATATTATGAACTCACAAATTTGATACTTTAGTCCTTCAGAACCACTTTATTATTCTAGGAAATTGAGGTTTGGTGGAGCTTTGAGAGTTTAAAAATTTTGTCACTGCAAAACACCATTTCTTTAAATTTGGCATAAAAATGGGGATAACTAAGCTGTAGTCTTTTAAGTAAAGCAAAATAAGGCCAGATAAGCATGAACAAGTAGTTTCACTGGCAGCAAAACTTCAGGTCTACTTTTAATATCTCTCACCAAATTAGTTTGAGAGCCCTGCTAGCATTGCAGCTGATCCTCTGAAGGAGAATTGTTAAGAGTCTCTGCCAGCTACCTGGTTTTATGAAACTTGTATGAATAAACAGAGTGATTACACAATCTTCTTTCTCCATTAAACTGCTCTTCAGTATTTTGTACACTTCCTTTTTTTCTATTTGACACTCCTTTGTTTCCAATATGCAGAGAGCGGGGTTTTTTCCTATTGCTTGGGAAGGCAACAAAACCACCAGAGATGTGTCTCAGTCCTTCACAGAGTTCTGCACTGTATTGCTGCTCAGATGTTTTCCACTAAAAGACCACATGGCACCTTGGTGCTGAGTTTTCATTTATTGCAACGCTGTTTAAAACAATAATTCATGCAAGAAACTTGATGGCTAATTTTAAGGTTATCTTATAGATCTATATCTTTAGAATGGTGGAGTAGTAAATAGCTATGATACACCTAAATTATCTATTTAATTAGAAAAAAACTTCAATATATTATGAATAGATTTCAAGTTATAGTGCTCTTATAAGAGGTATAATTACAGTTAAGAGAACCACTTCTTTCTTCTTGCATGCTCCTGGGATCCCTTGAAACAGTCTAAGGGATAGCTTACGATAATGAAAAAATAAATCTGAATTGCTTCTATGTATGCTATTTACAGCAGCTCTTGTTACAGTATACAAAAAATACCACATAATCCCGTAACAAGTTTTGCTTCTAAATAACCTCTTAATTCCTCCAGATCTTAAAAATTAAATAGAGAAGATACAGTCTCCATTAAAGACAGGTAAAAAAATCAAGTCCATCCTTTAAATCTCACCTTACTCCCAAATGAGAACCTACACACACACATATATATATTTTTCCATTCTGCTGGGCTCTGTATGAGACAACTTGCAATTATCAACATGTGCTTTCGCCAGAAGCCTCATAAATATTATCTGAGTCCAGTGTGTTTCCAGAGTCCCTCCTGCTTCTTCCCAGTACAAAAGCCCCTATTGATAAGCTGATGAATAGTGTAAATGCAGTTCTAAAAAGGGAAAAGAACTACCTTTATAATCAATTTTTTGTGAAGACCTTTCTGCCTGCCAAAAGGTCAAAAACTACATCTTCAGGTAAAAACTAACTAGAACTGTACCACTACTGAAGTAAAGCAGCATTTAAGCTATGTATTCTTTGGAGGGCTCCTCCAAGCCTGCAAACAATCTGTGGCTTTTTGCCCTATCCTGAACAAATTTAACATTTTGCTATTACCTTACAGGCCCCATTACCAAGAAAGTTTACCAAAACTTTCTGCTTGAAAAGGAAGTGGAAGACGATTGAAAAAGGGGGAATACCAATCTAATTAAAAACACATTGTGAAACAGCATAGAAGTCTGATGCAAAGAAAAAAAAAATTCCATCTTCTAGATATGCCAATGTCACCAAGTGCATCACGAAAACAGTTATGACAGTATACCCTGGTACTCCACCTTAAGTTGAGAACTTTGCAGCATTCAGAAATGTAGTAGTAGTTTTGTAGTAGTTCAGTATTTTTTCCAATATTGAAGTTCTGACAGCTGGGAGATGTAACTTGCCTTACATTAGAAAGCACTGAGATACAGCGGTTTGCATACTTGTACGTCAACACAAAGGCTAACATTCTGGACAAACAAATTTCTAGGTAGTAGTTTGTCAAGTAAGCCAACCTTCACCAATTGTGTCTCAGATTGCCTTGTGCATCTGTAGAGACTGAAGGGACAGAGTTAAGGAATTCTTTGCTTGGCAGATCCACTGCGGCACCTGTTGCTATACAGCTATGCCATGGACTTATTACCAGACTTATTTCACAGAACAAGGCAAAAAGGCTTATCCATTCTTAAATTAGAAACAAGAGTGATGCTCCTTCCAAACGTGAATACACATGAACAATCTTGAATGTGAAAATTGCTATTTCTAGATGACTGCAATGAGTTCTATTAAATCATCATTCTGTTTTGAATGAACATCAAAAGACTTGCAGAAAGCATCTTTATTTTCTCCCACTGATTTTGTGTGTTATACACAAACACTGATTTTGTGTGTTATACACAAACATACCTAAAACTAGGTGATACAATAGATTAAGTAACTCTGTCTGGAGGCATTTTTCCTCCCACAAATTTAAAACCCTTTATTTAAAGGGGTTTTAACAGTAACCATTTATGTGTTACAGCAATCTCTGGTATTTGATTAGAATTACAATGAACACTGTCTTTGCAGAGCAACCAATTCTATTGGTGATTCAAAAAGTAATTGATCCAGGCCTCATCCAGCCCAATACAAGAACCACAGCCAGAAGCCAGATCATCTAAATAGGTTTGAAGTTATTTACACACTGGAAGTGCTGCAGAAAACCGTTTAACATTACCAGAATGATCATACTTTCTTGACTTGTGGTACCTCAGAAAAAGTGTTCAGTCTGAAAAGTGTCCAAACACTTGCAAGTAGTGTTGTATAAAGTATGCTTGATACTAGGGGCATTGACTTTATTTCTAAAAAAAAAAAAGTTAATTAGGAATAGTTTGTACCATTCAGTCTGTCATGAGGATATTTAACTTAGCCAGAACAGGCTGAAGCATCCAGTTCCACATGCGTATAGTATTTGCAGCAGAAAGAGCCTCTCCAGTATAGCAGAATCATGCACAGCTGAAGAGTTGTAGGGAATCGCCAGAACACTAAAACACTTTCACATATCATTATTACCTACTAGCCAAGAAAATTAATATATTCTCTCCTACATCCACTAAGTTACTGTCATGAAAAACATAAGCATTAATTCGGTAGAAAAATTAAGATGCAAGTTGAATCTCATTGTTCTTCCCTTTAGAAAGTCAACGTACATGATCTACAGTTGCATACTTGTGTTCTCCCCCCTCAAAATACAGCACAATGTAATAATGAAAGCACAGAAAGGCAACATACCGTCATAGTAGACAATAGCTCCAACAAGCTCGTCTTTGCGTAGCATTGGAAAGAGCTCCAAGGCTCTTGACTTGCTAAGGACATAACTACTTTTCAGACACTGACTTCCTGCCACGAGGTCATATAGTTTTATTCCAAACCAGTAGTATGGCAACTGCCACCATCTGCAGGGAAAAAAAAAAAATCCCCATGAAGTGAAATTAAAAAAAGAAAATTTAGAAGTGCATGCACACACTGTTATTGTGACATAGAACATGTTAAGTGACACGGTATGTTTTATTACACCACTTTTACTTTGTACATACAAATTCATGGTATCACAATATAATGTAAATGTGCAAGAACTTGTGTATTGTTAACGTCTGTTTTCAACTGATCTATTCATTGCAGTTAGTTAAGCAGATTCAAGGCTTTGTGATCTTAATTCTGGAATAAACAAACTGACTTTTTGTACTTCAGTGTAAGGTGACATATTAAAGCTATGTGTTGAAGGAAGAATTGGGCTATAAGTGCAAGCTGAAAGGGTTCCTCAAACGCACACCTTGACTAATGCCTCCTGCACAAACAGGACCAAAAAACTGCAGTGAATCACTGACCTACATGAGCTCCAGCTATTACAAGCCCTTTCTACTAAGGCAGGAATAAAGCCATACATTAAGATCCTTCAGCAAAAACTCCCTGCTCTAAGTAGCCTGTTAATAGTGGGTAACTGTTCTTAAAACCTAAAAACCTACCCCAAATCACTTAAAGTCTTTCTCATATGAGAAGCAAACTGTTCTCTCAACACCAAACTGTCACGTACTGTGGAAGGTAAATGCACTGAATTACTGCACTGAACACTGGTAGTTGTAAGGACTAAACAGCACATTGCTAAGCACACTATGATAGAATGTGTTGAAGACAAGGATGCACTGGAAAGAATAGCAAGTAACATGCTGGGAATGAGAGTTCATTCCAGCTGCAAACTCCCCTCCGCTGGAGTGGCAGAAGTGCACTGAAAAGCTGAAGTCCGCGATGTGTTCCTAGATAGCTGGTTGGTGCCATAAGAGAATTCCATGCTTCTACAATACGGCAACATCTCACCTCCTGGAGGACAAAAACCTGACTTGTGGGAGGTTTAAAGACATGCTTGGAAAGATGCACCTGAAAACCTCTCCAGGGAAATAGCTTGCTTGTCAAAAGCAATGGTAAAGGGGAGATATTATAGCAGAGCTTACTTGTAAACAGGTAGCATTATTGGCAAAGGAGCTGATAGGTGAGGAGCAATTTCAAGAAGATTTGCACGCTCCTCAAGTGCTTCTTTCACCATTTTGTACTGAAAAACAGAAGTGTACATGTGAATCTCACGTTACTCAATTTTGTCTCCATGTGCAACATTAAGCAAACTGTTTATCAAAGCAAATACCTCACCTAATTTTTACTGTTCTTTCAAAAAACACACTGAGATTTACTAAAAAATTCAAAAGTTAAGGAAAATGTATCCCAAGAAAATTAAGTTTAACTAGTTTCATTTGGATATCTTGGCAGGTCAGTTGAATAATTTTTCATTTGAATGTAAAGCGCAACAAACTGTGTTACTCCTAACTATGGGCAGGAAGCACTTAAGGAGGGTTAGAACTGATATGGTATAGCTTCTGTGCCGATTCCCACAATTAAATCCCACACTAACTCCGAGTTGCAAATGCAGAAGTGTTCTTCTCCAAATCAATCAATACAAATCAATATGAAGTTGTTCTTTGGCAAGAAAGAAGGCTGATTTCTATAGCTGAATAACTACATGTTTAATATATTTTTTCCATGAGAAGTCACCATTTCCATAGCAGTATTGTAACCATTAAAACATACTTCAAGTTAGAGAGGTTTCAATGAGAAGATAAATCAATTTCTCAAAACAAGAATATCACACTTCCACCAACACTAGAATACATAAAAGCATTGATATATAATCACTCATCTACCATATTTTCCTTCCCCATGCCAAAACAAACAAGACAACCACTCCCTCAAATTCTGATCATGACAGGTAGGAAACTCTTTTTATGCTGAAGTCAGCTCTGTCTCTGCCCTCCGCAAAATATACACAGTCTACACTGTACGGCAATTAGACTGCCCATAAAAGAATTTGGCAAAAGGCAGCAGCACCGATTTCCCTAGTCTGGAAAGCTCAACTAGAGAAGACATTTTCTGTGGACTACAACAGTCAAGTATTGAAAAAAATAAGAAGGAGACTCGGATATAATTGGGACAGGGGAAGTTTCTACTAGCAATTTTTGCTTAACAACCAGCATAAACAATTACCTGCTCAAAATCCAACTTCATGATGGCCTTCTGAAGATATCTCACTCCACCATGGATCAATTTAGTACTCCTGCTGCTCGTCCCTGATGAGAAATCATCTCTTTCTAGAAGGGCTGTTTTTAGACCTGTGTTACCAGAAAACCAAATTAACTTCTTAAATTACACAATTTGTATGTAATTCATTAAAGACACTTCTCTAGGGTAGAGACAATCACAAGAAAAATTACTCTATACATGGATAAATTTGTATTCAAAGTGCAGCGCACTGTCTATATTGTAATGAAAAATTTTAGCCTCCTTCCTAAGGGAAAAGTCAAAACAGAACTTAAACAGAAGCACATTAAAACCTGGATATTTCACAATAGAAAGGCATTACAGTACATTATAGGGGCCACGCTCCCTCAAGCAAATTATAGTTTGTATTCATGGCAGGAACAGAATATTTTCATGAATACTTTTAACTCTTTGCAGCAGAGAGCTCTAAACCTCTAAACTACACTAACAATTTAAACAGCATACCAGAGAGGCAGACAACTGGCATCTTTGTCTGCTTACTTACAGTCTGATTAAGAGGTGCCCAAAAACCAGCAGAGCGCCAGCCATGGGCATGCTCACCGCTCAGGGAGAGCTCACCAGTGACATATATAGCACACGTATATAGAATTCTGCCATAGGCATAAAATTGATAATTGAGGCTTAATACAAAATATTGTAGCTTACCTAGGAAGTGTAGCAAAGGGAAAAAGTAAGTTCATGTACTTACTGTGCAGATACTACAGTGCTCACACAGCACAGACATCCCCCTTTTACACATCACATATGCAAAGGGCATGCACACAAAACATTTGCTACAAGACATGACTAAGTATTTCAGAAAAACATTTACTCGAAAATGTGCACGCATGTTCCCTGACACCGGCAAGCATTGACAGTCTGACTAGCACAAGGAAGGGATAACCACGTGGCTCACAGACGGTCACACAAAGTGCTGTACAATGAATGTTAAAATGCTTATTCTAACAAACACTTGGAACAAGGTTGGCACGTTTGTTGCACAAGTTGTGTTCCCAGTTACCCTGAGAGCCAGGAAAAAGCTTTCCATGGGTGAAGGCACACCACTTCACAGGGAAGTCACTATGAAACCATATACCCCAATGCTGTCTACAGTACATCCCTTGTACAAGAGAAATGCTGGCATCTTCTTCATGAAGGATACTGACATCGGGTTATGTGATGGAAGTTAGGTGAAAGGAAAAGTTGCAGCGAACTGATGCCTTTTAGTGGTAAGATACAGGCAACAGCCTGGACACATCCTTTGGCACATATCTGCATGACAACCACCACTGACTTCCAACACCCAGCATAAGTAAACCCAACCAAGATGAGCACCACAGGACAAGTATATGGCCATCTTCAGTGTATAAACATATGTGGAAGGACTTCCTACAGAAGTCCACATAACAGACCCCCTCCATCACTGGCAGAATTTTAAAGTTCGGCAGGCAAGGCAAAAAGTAAATTAAATTCAGTGACATTGCTACCAAAACCAACAGCAACAACATAACAAGGCATAGCCAAGGAGAAGAGCACCAGAAGTTATCCCTTGGGTCTTTCCTTCACGCTCTTTGGGGGGTGCTTTATCTTATTGGTTGGTGAACATACATTTTAACATCTGTTGGTCTACCAAAACTTTTATGTCCTTAAAAAAAAAACAAAGCAATTATTACTAGTAACTTCCAAAGATCAGAGTAATTTATTTTTGTCAAATGTGACTGAAGATTAATAGATACAATCAGAAATAATTTGGCTAAGATATATTAAACACATGAAAAGCAAAATTTGTTGTTAAGCGAAGCAAACATAACAAAAGAGCAAGTTCCATGAATGAACATCAACAATACACAATTCATTAATGAAATGCCTAGGAATATTTCACACTTCAGAAATCTACTGATATAATCAGAATATCTAGTAAAAAGTTAAACATAGATTACCTATAATGACTTCGTGTGCTTTACAACTGCATTTTCTACCACAACATAGCAGAGAGAAGTGAAAAGATCCCGTTATCTTTAATAATACAGGAAAAATAACCAGATTTGAGTTTGTATGCATCTACCAATGGTGAAGACCTTACTGCTTTATCCATTTCAAAATTATCACACCTTCTGGACAAGTATTTTCCAAATCAAACTACAAAACACTCCTCGAGTCAGGTTTTGCCTCTTATTTCTGAGGTGTATCCACAGCTTAAAGAACCTGAAGAACTTTAATGGCTATCTACTATGTCTTATATTCCATACCAAAGAAATCTTTTCTCACAAATCTTTTACACAGGTTTTTGGCTAAAAATATGATATTGTGGGGGCATATAGCATCTTAATAGAACAGGAGTTGATGCTACAGCCTCTCCCACAGAAACACTACCCATGCATTCTTATCTCTGTATCTGAAGATCTATTTTCACTAGATTTGTAAAATTATACATTCCCTTTGAGAACTGCCAAATTTGATTGAACCTGTTGGCCAATTTCAAGGTTACTGCGTGAGGTGGATGACACAGAGTGGTCATTAGCGTCCTGCTTCTTCACTCCCTGAACAGAGTTTTTCACACATCTGACCAACTGCATGAGCTATTGGGCAACATCTGCACATCTACTGAGCCACAACTGACTGTCACCATACAAATTCTCATCCTCCTGTGGAAGTCAGGTAAAAAGCATTAGCTTAAACTCATTTTACCTTAGGCTTTCCACAAGTTAAGGCTACGCAATAAAGTTAACATCAGTTCTGCTGCTTCTAGTAGCTTCTTAACCAGTTAATCCCCCAAAGGAGGGGATATCTGAGTAGAGAACTACTGTATGTACCTTCAGACTGAATGGTGGTAGTACCTCTAACTGAAAATCCAGAGACTTCTCCAAACCCTCAATACACTAAGCAGCTACAATGCAATATCAGAAGTTGTAGATATCTCATGTTACAAGAAATATGAGCTGAAGAGCCACTGTGCCTCATCTAGAATTCATGCTTGGCCCTTTCCAAGTAACTGCTAAAAGTGCTGTGCAAGTCTTGTCTTCTCTTTGCTGCAGATATTCTCCTGCACAAACAATTGAAATGTGACTACAGATAAACCCACCAAGTAAGGAACAACAGAGCATGAGAAGTCCCATCCAGGAACATCCAATCCAGCAAAAAGGTTTGTTAGACAACTGCATACAAGCACCTAGACAATAAAGACTGCTGAAACAACAAAATGCAACAACATTTTTTCTTCAAGTTCATTTTACCTTTTGAGAACAGAAGGAAGTCTTATAACCAGGCATTCAGAGCACACCTCTATTTTAAAGTACCTTTGAAAAGCCAATCTGATAAATTTACTATAAACCATGTAATCCAAAAATAAAAATGCAATTAAATTGTCAAGCCTTACCTCTAGTGACTGCATCTAAAGCACAGCCACATCCTGTTGCTCCTCCACCTATAACAAGGACATCAAATTCACTTGTGGTTTGCAGGGCCAAAATTTGTTGTTCCCTTGTGGGGAAATGGTTCTTTATTGGAACAGTCACAGCTTCTGCAGCTTGAACATGCACAAAGGCACCCTACAAAGATTAACCACAATACATGAGGTTCTGTATTTATTGTGTATATGCACACACAGCCAAACACACAGCCAAATCACAGTATTTTCTATAACCATAAAGGTAAACTCAAATATTCCCAGTCACTTTACCTATATTTAATAATAGTATTGTAACAAAACATTATGGAGCGACAAACAGTACTAAAACCATAAAGCATTAGCACACATTCACTTAATCTTGCCTACTTCAATGTAATGCAGTACTCTAGTGCTACCACCTATACTAATCGTTTCTAGGAATAGCCTTCTGCTATGTCAAATGTTACAGGATGCTCAGAAGTATTTTCATAAACAGATACATGGTTAGGCTCTCAGCTCTCTACCAAAAAAATCCAAAGCAAAAAGACTTAAAGATGAATGTACATTTTTACATTTTTAAATTAATTTAAAAAGATACAGTAGCATTAATATAAGCTCAAATTTGATGAGGCTAATGAGACTATGTGGTTTACTGTCAAATACAGCATACTAAAGCACCACAGAAACACTATTTCCATATCCTTTTTTAAAAATCCTATCAGCAAAGCAATTCATATCCTACAGCATGCTAAAATACAACTTTTTTAAAAAAATTACAAAACTTAATGATGTGGCAGTTTCCAGACAAGTTCAGATTTTACTGGAATGGCTTTGCGAATCTCCCTGCTACTCTACCTAATATTCCATGAGCCAGTGCTGCTCTCCATTTAGTGGCTGTGATGAGAAAGTCACCTTGCTGAGTCAACTAATATGGACCATGGTTTAAATTTTAAGGTTTTAACCAGTTTCTGAAGGATCTCTTCAGTTAACATTAAATTAAACTGAATTCTGAAAACCTTTAGTGTCACAGGAATCCCCAAACTCTATTACTGGTCACATACTTCATAATAATAATGTTATGAGTGCCATCACTGTGGGTTCATATTCATCACACTGATTTTATATAGAATGGGCTGTAGGCAGATATCATAGTTATTCAGACAGTTAAATAGGGTACAAGACCACAAAAGTCATGCTTGCTTTCTCTCTGCTTTCAGCTCTAGCTTTGCTTTTTGTTCCAGCTCTTGTCCTCCCAAATTATCTTCACCATTGTCCCTCATTCTGCACAAAACTAGTCAGTGAATTTCTCTGACCACTACTTTTACAGACCCAAAGGACCCATCTTTTCCACAACAGAGTAATCACTTGTACATAAGCATACCTAGCAGACAAAGCACCTGCATTTCCAATATAAGAAGGGGAAGTGAGGTACTGGCCACCGAGCCGGAACATCCTAGCCCGGCAGTAGAGCCTCCACAACCTTCAGAACATCACTTGAGCCATCTCTTTCAGAAATAACCAGATTTTGGTGCTCTGAATTTCGTTTCATCGAGAGAAGTACTTTTATTGGTACCTAGCACTTCCAAAGGAAATGTTTTAACCACTACTGATTTGAAATATATTATGTGAAAACAAATAAAGGCCTACACTACACAGATGAGCAAACCAGGACAGAAGAACTAATTGGCCAATTCAGAATGGATCAAAATAAACAAACAGGAAATTAATGATTAACATTTTCAGAGTTTCCTGAAAATTATAAACGCTTTTGACACAGGAAAAACCTATAGTCTAAGATCTGGGCATAAACCAGTCTTTAGTTCAAATGGCAGACTTAACGGGTGTAAAATAGCTTCCAGATCTCCCACACAGGAAAAACTAAACTAATTAAATTCAAGTGACAAAACACAAAATACTACTTTCTTCTATCATCTAGAACAATTTGTCTAATCTCTTTCCATCCACTGCTTACAATGTGCAAGGAAGGTCTCATGTAAGTTTTTATTTCGCAGAATCATTAGGGTTGGAAAAGATCGTTAAGATCATCGAGTCCAACCGTCAACCCAACACCCCTGTGCCCACTAAACCATGTCCCAAAGTGCCACATCCACAAGTTTTTTGAACACTTCCAGTGATGGTGACTCCACCACCTCCCTGGGCAGCCTGTGCCAATGCTCGACCACTCCTTCTGTAAAGAAATTTTTCCTAATATCCAATCTAAACCTTTCCTGGTGCTCCTTGAATAAACTGAACTAGGCAAGTTGTTCAGTTGTTTCTGTAACTGTATTGCTTATTCCATTGTTAACAGGGAATTACAGTTCCCACAGAAATAGCTCCTAAGCCCAGTCTCACGCTGCAAACACACTACCACAGCACCGTTCACCCTGCCTCAGTGTTTTATCATTACTCAGCCCACATGTTGAGTTTCCCAGACAGACGTTCCTAGATCACTACAGTTAGGAAAAGCTCTCTGCTAATATAAGCCACCTCCAGGTTTTAGGAGCTCCAGCCACTTTCCCTGGCAATCAATGATGAGGGAATATACACCTGCCAGATTAAAATAGCTTGACTGACAGAAGGTAACTCAGTCACTATCTGTTCACATGCGCAGCTGAACAGGTTTCCATGACTAGCTACGCAAATGGTGTAGCTCCTCTTTAGCAAGCAATTCACTGGTTGTGGTAGAGGTCTGTTAGCAGACCTTGTGAGAAAGGTAAAAGCTATTCTTGCAACGTGTCCACTGTAAATTAACAGCCAATACAGCCACACACAAGAAGCCTGAACTCAGATTATATGGTGCATACAACCTAAATATTTTTGTTCAAAGTTTTTTGCTCATTCTTCAGAAGCATTAAGATTCAAATGCGTTATTTCTCAATGTTCCTATCATTACTATACAACTGAAAATAAAATCTAATAACTAGTAGCCATGTCTAAAGGAAGTGCATATTCAAAAGATAATTAATGATTATAATCATTAATGATTAAGGATTATATTCACCACAATGCAAGTAGCTCATGCAAATTACTTAGGATAGCAGCAACCACTTTCACTGCACGTGTGTTACAATTCAATCACCATCAATAAGGTAAGCTGGCCTCAAGAAAGAGTGCTTCACTTCATATTAAGGATTTGTACCTTCCCCAAAAGAAATTGAAAATTAATATTTAAAACAACGAAAACTTGTCAAATTGTGACTCAAGCTATAGCATTACCACTGATGTTTCCCAAGCACAGTGCTTGTGGTTCCCACTGGGGTGACCTCCAGCCTGGCCAGCCCCAGACCCTGGCCCAGCAGCAAGCGATTGGCACAGGCTCACCTCCAGGCACCTGAGCAGCCGCATTAAGCACTCAACCGACTGTAGCCCAGGCTTAGTCACAGACTGCAAATGCACAGTAATGAAAGGTCTTCTACTTCGAGGCTTGTTTAAACCCACCGCAACCCTCGAATAGACACATACGTGCTGCCAGCCCCCAGAGTTCAAGGAGTTATGACAAACACACGGACAGTGGTGAGGTTGAGTCAAAGTGCAGCAGACAGGTCAATCTTGATAAGCCTCACAATTAGTCTCCCCTTGCTCTCACAGGTCTACATACTAACACATGGCAGCTGGCAAAGATCACCAGATGAGGTACAAACTTTTGGCACTTCAGAGAAATTCAGCTTCCACATTATTCTTCTAGCCAATGAATTCTGTACATTCCCACTCGCTTTCACCTCTTGCCCCGCTCTCTCCCCAGACTACTCATCTCTAGCAGTGCTAAAAACTTTTATATCCCCCGAAGTACAGTGGAAACTTTTATATCCCTGGAGTATGGTACACTGATGCAGTTCCAGAATACGTTCTCCCAGGGAGCAATGGGCACAAGGAGGGAGACACTGAGAGGATCCAGCCATTCCTGTCTTCACCCCTTCCTCCGTGGCTGTAAAGACAACCCTCCTGCCTCTGTGCTTCTGCAGAGCTTTGCTGTGACCCCTCTGACTGCCTCCAGCAGCAGCTCTGCACTGCTTCCCCTCCTGAAAGGGGATGAGAAAGCAGCACATGAAAGGTTCTTCCTCCTCGAATACCTGAAAACTGTGACAACGCTGCAGCTTTCTGGGTTGCATAGCAAGCGGAAGTGTCTGGCTTCCTACACAGTCTCTGTTTTTCCCTCGGTCAGCTGTGGCATTAAGCATGCTTTTTAGCACTGTACCATTACAGTGGGCACAGGCAGCCAGTTGATGCCAATTTCCCACCTCCCCTAAGCATCACCCTGTGACTTGGAGACAACAGCAATGAGAATGAAACTGTGAAGATGAAAACCACCCAGGGCTTAGTCTTGCATGTGCTTCAGTTGATCAAGTTCAGCTACATATGCTCAACTTTCTTAAACTTTAAAAAAGTGAAAATCCTCATCTCAAAATTAGTTCTGCACTATCTGTCCAGACATGCCTTCTTCAGCAAGAGAAGTGACTATTTTCGAAGTGTACAACTTAAGTTTGGGAAAATAAGAGGATACAAGAACAACAGAATTCGGAGTTCAAGAAGTATTAACATAATTCGGTTTTGACCTTATTTTTTGGTTTGTTTTTAAATGCATTATGTCAACAACTGGCTTGCAGTAAGACATCGACCAGAGTCCCAAGCAGCTAGCGACTGGTATAGCAAGAGCCTCGAGATTAGCACTGAAATATAAGGAAAGTGATTAGCGCACTAGGAGTTGATATAGATATGATTCATCTTGCTGTCAATTAAATGTGAGAGTGAAGAAAAGCTGCATACAGGGATTCCATCTGCAATAACGTGATTAGTTTGGCAGTGAACAAGTATGTTTACTGAAATAAGCAATTGCTGTTTATATCTACAATTTCTCAGGCAAGAGTTCCTTGAATGGTTTTGATTACACTCTTAGTGAGAGGAAATTTAGTTTGGCAGTTTGAATTCAATCATGAAGTTATAAAGTGATCTAGTAATCCATAAGCAAGCATTCTTGTTAATTTGCTAATGTAAATCCCCAGGTAGGTTTGCAGAGTCAAATTCGTCATCCTTATTCATTTAAAACACCCCAAACAAACAATTTAAAAAAAAAAAAACAAAAAAACAAAAGCAGGCCCTGATGCATTAGCATATTACCACACGCTACTGGATTCACCTTGATGAGTGATTCCTACTGACCAACTTACACACCAGAAAGAGAGGAGGATTGCCTGGTGGGCTTAGTTAGGAAAAGACAGCAATCTCTTACAACTCCAAAATAAAGCAGTGCTTTTTCCCTTAATGATTACAGGGAGGGCGGAAAAAATAAAATATGTAAAATTATCAGTGGTCTCCAATTCAGACTTGGCACATCAAAGTATACCCACATTATATGTAGTACTAGCCCACTTGCCTCGGTGCATTAAAATAAAGGCACAAAAAGCAAGAATGCAGCAATTCAGGCAGCATGTACAGGAAGCAAGAGAAACTGGTATTTCCATTTCTCTATCACCATTACTGTTAGAAGGCCTGGCGAAACAGCTAGCAAAGGCTGGCTGTATCACTTTTGCCATTCAGGTATCTGAATATTTGAGGCCAAATCAATCAATTATGTACATGGCCTGTGTATTTAATGTCTCAGAGGGGTCCAACTTCATCTCAGATGCAATTCTTTTCAGGAGCTCGTGATTGATAGTCAATGGATTGGTAGCACGTGGATTTGAGAGTTCCTGCACTGTTTAAGATGAAATTCATTTACAGTGGTAGCACTGAAAAAAACATACATAAGAGTCTACGCACACTTTTGCTTTAGCCAAAAACAGTTTAGGAGGGACTAGTTTCTTCAGACCTCTGCACTACCTGCTGTGAAGAGTTCCCCAATTGTCTCCTTTTCTCTGGAAAAGGGCTTTTCTTTTTCATCTAACCAAAAGCCTCCTTGTCAGACTTACGCATTTGCCCTCAACAGCCTAAGTCAGTAAGGCTGCACAGAAACCTCGACCAGCTTCCTTAAGGGTAATGGTTATTCAACGTGAAAGAACCACTCCTGTGTGTTTACTGAAAGAGGTTTTGCTTGAATTAGTGTCATTCCTACTTATTCCTTTACACATAGCACTAAGCTAACCCAGCTTATTAATTCAGTAAATATCCCAGTGATCAGGTTACCATAAAAGACACAGAAGTGCAATATTAAAAAAAACCAACACACAATAAGGGCAATTTACTAAACTGCTTGTATGCCTGTATATGCCATTCGTAGATACGTATTCTCAGGTTATATCGCCTCAGTTGCTGTTGCAGAAATGTGGTCAGCACATATGTGTGTGTACAGAAAAATAAGTTGGGATAAAAATCTTGAAAACCAGGACAGATCTGAATCAATGGAGCGTTTTATTTCCAAGCCGTAAACACTTACAGCTGTTTACATACAGACAAGGTTAATCATGCTAACTGTGCCATTCTCCTCACAGTCAGGCTTCGACACTCAAATCTAGCACGGACAACTTAAATCGCAACATCGGAAATTGCCAGTACTCATCCCTTTTAGTTGGCAAACCACTCGCTAGTATGCTTGACGAACAAACCCAAAGGGCCTCCTACCCATTCTCAAGGGCCAGAACTTTCCCACCCTTCAGCTTCTCCCATGGAATTACCAGGACAGCCAAGTCTCACAGAAACACCAAACACCAGCTGAGTGAACATGAAAAACAAAGAAAGATAGATCAACTAGACTGTGTGTTCAGGATTATCAGCCAGCCGAGGCCTTTATCCTGTAACTGGGTGCCTCTAATTCCAGGATGCTAGCCACAGCACAGACATGCAGTCATTGAGTGAAGCAGTACAGTCAAGGGTAAAAAAACTGAGCATTTTATTTCTGTCTTATTATGTGATGGATTCTGTTCTTGAAATAACAACAGATTTCCTACAATGTGTAGCCAATTAGTGCACATCTTGGGGCAATATCCTTCACTGGCAAAGGAAGACAAGATCTTTGCCCTAGTATATATTTGATTGGCAGACATTATTAAAGAGAGGACATTTGGGCTGAGGGACATGCCCACAGCTTAGATATGTCAACACAGCAAATGGACTGTCCTTCTTTGTGTCAATCCCTCCAGTTATGTTCCACCTGCTGCCCTATATTAGGTGTTTAAAGCAGCAGCTTTAAGGGACACCACGTGGGAAATGTGCAAGTTAGTACAACATGAAAACAACATGCTGTTCACTTGACAGATCCATTTGCTTACACATATGCTGGAAATTTTCAGATCCTTTGTAGACTGATCCTACACAATAGGTTTAGAAATCAGGGAACAAGCAGTTACTTCGTTTTGACACCACAATCACCTTCTGTGAAACTTTGGGTTTTAATCTGCCTCTGGAAATTCATAATGGCCATCCATTCCCAGAAAAATGGGAATTCCCCCAAATTCTGCATATACAAGAAGTGAGCTATCCAGATCACTTTTCCCTTCCAACTCCTTCTCTTATTTAACAGTCCTAAAATTTGAAGCTGCCACTTCTTACCGTAATAAAGCCAGATTGTAAAAGTCTGTGATAAAGACTCTAGAGAGAGTTAGAAACAGTATTATCAGCTAGGTGCAAGACAGGCAGCCCAATGGGAAGCTCACTTTAAATGCTACGTTTTATTTTCTGCAACAGTATCTGAAGCCATAAGGATTCTGGCTTATCCACTTTCCAGCTAGGTTCCCCAGAAATGACTCATCTCATTTCCTTTACTAATACCGCAGCTGCTATTCCTCCTCCTCCCCATAGAAACAGCCAGAAGATTCAGATTATCATTTATTCAGACGTAATACATGCCTTCATGGCGCTCAGTGAAGACCATCTCCCATCACCCACTGTTTTACCTTCAACTAAACCATTAAGATCCACTTCTGTTCCTATTTTCAGTTTGCCCAATTTGAATGGCAACTTATAGTAAATGTGTGGTAACCAGAGCAGTTCACAGAGTAACAGCTTGTCTAGATAAAGAGCCGACTGATTACATTTCCAAGGTGAGAAGCAGAAAACACCACACAATGAGGCCCTGCTCACCTAGCTGCTCAGACTGATACCATCTCAAAGGAAAGAGGAGGTAGTTCACAGAATCACACAACAGTGTGTTGGAAGGGACCTTGGAGATCATCTAGTTCCCCCCCCCCTGCAGTGAGCAGGGATACCTTCCACTACACCAGGTTGCTCAGAGCCCCGTCCAACCTGGCCTTGAACACTTCCAGGGATGGGGCATCCACTACTTCTCTGGGCAACCTGTTTCAGGGCCTCATCACCCTCATAGTGACAAATTTCCTCCTGCTATCAAACCTAAATTTACCCTCTTTCAGTTTAAAGCCATTACGCCTTGTCCTATCACTACATGCCCTTGTAAAAAGTCCCTCTCCAGCTTTCTTGTAGGCCTCCTTTAAGGGCTGGCAGCTGCAATAAGGTCTCCCTGAAGCCTTCTCTGCTCCAGGCTAAACACCTCCAACTCTCTCAGCCTGTCCTCACAGGAGAGGGGTTCCATCTCTCTGAGCTTTTTTGTGGCCTCCTCTGGACCCTCTCCAACAGGTCCATGTCTCTCCTGTGCTGAGGGCTCCAGAGCTGGACACAGCACTGCAGGTGAGGTCTCCCTAAAGGGGAGTAGAGGGGCAGAATCACCTCCCTCAACCTGCTGGCCACACTGCTTTAGATATGGCCCAGGATACAGTTGGCTTTCTGGGCTGCGAGCGCACGCTGCCAGCTCACATTGAGCTTCTCATCAGCCAACATCCCCAAGTACTTCTCCTCAGGGGCTGCTCCCAATCCATTCTCTGCACAGCCTGTATTTGTTTGGGATTGCCCCAACCCATGTGTAGGACCTTGCACTTGGCCTTGTTGACCTTCATGAGGTTTGCATGGGCCCACCTCTCAAGGCTGTCAAGGTCTCTCTTGTTCCTCAGGCTTAAGCTTCTCCAAACCCAGACTTAAAACAAGTCAGGCCAAAGCTCTGATGACACCTACTTCAACCATTTTACAGAACACTGACTGCAAATATTTTTGGCCAAATGCAGGGTGCCAGCCTCACAGCCCACATTTAACACAAGATCAGAAGACATGTTCCCTTATATGTACCTAATAGCCCAGACATGGTTATTTTATAAAACTCTAAAGCACAGCACAACTGCGTTAAAATAAGGGGCATTTATCTGCTTTCAGACAAAGAGCAGTTGTTGATCCACACCAGCTCTGCTTAAAACCAATCCACAATTCATGATCATTTTACTGATTTGTCCTTGGGTTGTGCATCAAGAAGAGAGTTAAAAAGCATGGCAACTCTGACTCTGCTGAGGAGCAGATATGTCAATGAAATCTATTTTCTACAATGGCAAGAATCAATATGCAAACTGACACCAGTATCTATTGCACCTCTTTTTGCTACCACTACTTTACTTCAACAGTAAGTCTCCAACGTCATCCTTCACTGCTCAGGGAATTTCTTCTGTGTATGTGTGTGCCTTAGTTACCTGGAAGACAGCACTGAACTGTGCCTCAAGCTCACCCACATCCAGGTTCTGCCCACCCAAGCAGAGGCCAATGCCCACCAGAAACACCAGCAGCCTCACCATTGACTTCTTTGGCACAGATCCTATCCTCAAAGAGTTTTCAGCTTTTTGAACTGAATGAGAGCTGGCACCATGACTGTTCTGAAGCACAGAATTTTCAGAGGTAGTGCTAATGGTTTCACTTCAAGCTTGTGAGTTTGAAAATACTTTCCAAACTGTACTTAGTGTTTATACTTCAATCGGTACTTTCCACGCCTCCTGCGACTAACTAAAATTCCTAGTGGTACACAAAGGTCGTTTTTTAAACATGAAAAATGATTTACAAGAATCACACTTCCCCACTGGTTAAAGACCTACAAAAGTGAAACATCATTTAATGCCATCCTCCAGATTAGCACCTACAAAAATCAAGCTGAGAGGCTCTTGGCATTCCTTTCCAAACAAAACTATTCGTATAAGCCTAACATACGCTCAAACAGATTTTAAGTTTCATATTTTATCAGAAATCATAATTAATACTTACGTGTTTGTTTCTATACTGAGAAAATTGAGAGAGGCCAAAAACTGTTGCTATGGCACCTCCTCCAATGAGAGCAGTTCCTTTCACTGCCTTCTGAAATGCCATTTTTTACTGTAAGAAAAGAAGATAAAAATTAATAAGCAGTTTTACCATGTTAGAATCTAGGCTACACAGAATAGACCATTTGTAGAAACTAATGACAATGTTGTGACAAGTTGACGCTTAGGGTAGCGATATATTAATTAGCAATTTTCATTGCCATATTAATAACTTCTAAACAAAGTCTAGACAGAGGCAAGCCAGAGTGCTCTGGTAATTGCTGCGAAAGCTGAATGACAAAAGAGTAGTTAGATATACGAGTAGATATGTACACCACCCCCCTTTTAAACTCTAAGTACTCATGTGTGTGACAAGTGCTTACAATACCATGGCAAAAGCAGAACAAGAACACCCTGTCATCAGCCAGATGGCCACCAAATCCTTATCACAACAGAACAGCTGATCTGCTTGACAAGATCACCTTTAGCTACCCTCCCATCCCATCAAACTATTTCTGCTGTCACACTTGTCTAACAGAACTCCATCTCGCTTTCCAGCCAGGAATTATGATCCCTGTATTCACTGTATACGAGCAAAGCTTGTCCTACCCAGGAACGGTGGAGAAGCGATGCGCTGATAGTCAGGAAGCAGGTCCTTCAGTGGGAAGCAGCAGCAGTGACAGCGGACAAGATTAAGTGACTTGAAAGAAGCGCAGAACTTTATCGTCCAGCTACAGAGGGTTTAAAACTAGCCCTATGTGGGTCAGGCAAATTCTTAAAAGACCCAGTGTTCAGATACTGAATGAAATATTTGCATGGCACTGACCTGAATCTTAAGCAGGCACAACCTAATCCATCTTCCCAGGACTGTGGCAGCTCCCGTCACATTACAAAACAACATACATCAAGTTTGAAGGACTCCCGTCAGTGCTCCAAGCCCTCTGGTTATGAGGACATCTTTGTCCAAGCCCCAGACTCACCCAGCAGACTCCATACAAGAGATTTAGCACCATTAAGGCTTAAAGCAAAAGCAGGCATCGTGTAGAGCCCCGTGCCAACACCCGAACAGCAGCAGACTTACAACACGGCAGAAGTGGCCCCGGGCCAGGAGCAGGGAGCTGCCGCAGCTCCCCATCCCAGGGCTGAGCAGGAGGAAGGCCCCAGTAGCCTCACTCAAAGCCTGGCTGGTGGGGCTCAGCCCTTGCCTTGGTCCCCCGGCCTGGCCCCGCTGCCCTGGTCTGGCACAGCTCCGGCACAGCGCGGGGCCTTACTGCACGCCTGCTGATCTAGAGGTTTGGCAGCCTCCACAACTGCTGCCCACCCTGTACCAAACACACCAGATGGTTATAAACCATTACTTTTGGCAGTGTACAGCTTTCTTGTCAAAATTTGCAGCAAACTACTTAACAATTAAAGAGTTATTTCTTTGGCCTTATAAATACAATTAAACATTAAATGCTGTATGTTACTATATGTCTGTATACATTTCATCTTTTTTCTCCTATTAGTTCTTCCACCTAGCATAATTGTTCTTTTTTCTAAGAGGAAAATACACCAAACATGTTTAAGACACAAGCCAAACAAGAAAACGTTACTTTTAAGATAGTATAGATCTTAACTTCATTCCCTGTGCACTTTCCTTGCAGCACGTCCAGTGTGTGGGGAAATTCCACACACAAGTATTGTATGCAAACATCTGATGTACAGATGTTGTATGTAGGTACTACATGCAAGTGATTATTGTACAGAAGGCAAGACTTGCAGCTTCCCACAAGGTTTTCTGAAGAGTAGCACACATGCTTTTAAAGATTCCCCCCTTAACAACATCTCTTGGTATGCATAGAGAGTATCACATTTTCCATTTACTTCATAGAATCACAGAACAGTTTGGTCTGGAAGGGACCTCTCCAGGCCATCTAGTCCAACCCCCTGCCATGAGCAGGGACATCTTCAACTCGATCAGGTTGCTCAGAGCCTCGTCCAACCTGACCTGGGATGTCCCCAGGGATGGGGCATCGACCACCTCTCTGGGCAACCTGGGCCAGGGGTTCACCACCCTCACTGTGAAAAATTTCTTCCTTAGGTCTAGTCGAAATCTAACCTCTTTCAGTTTAAAACCATTGCTTCTTGCTCTATCACAACAGGTCCTACTAAAAACTTTGTCCCTAAACTGTTTTTTTTTGTTCACTCTTTAGTTTCAAAAGAGACCAACTTCTTCTTTCCTCTATACCATGATAGGGAGGAGTAAAAAGGAAAGGCAACAGACAAAAACTTCCCTTGCTATGGGTTTTTTATCAAAGGAAAGTTACTGTGGAGGCCTGGCCTCTAAAGCTACCGCACCTGCACGGAAACAGGGAGCAAGCATTGAGTCAGATGTCTCGGACCTTGTTGCCAGTAGCAGCAAGCAGCCGCACCACCA